GGGGGGGCGTCGTAAATTATATAGATGTGACTGTTTTCGTCGGATAATTAAAAAAAAGATAGTTAATAGTGACTATAAAAATATAAGTTATTGAATAACCACTATTAACTTGAACTGTATGGCTTATGTTTTGCTTACGCACAGTCCTAACTGAATAGTTCGAATGTTCAGTTAGAACTGAGCGTATGTAGGTAGTAGGTACCTAACGATATGCATTATTTACTATTTTATTTTTAATATTATTTCGATTACATATGGTTCATGCCAAGTGCACTATCAGTGCTAAAATATATGTCAAATTAAAACATAAATGAAATAATTGACTTTAAACTCACCGGTTTAAAAAGCAATTAGTAATGTATTGGAGGAGGTGACGTCGCGAGGAGTTGGCAGGTTTGAGCGTACCACTGAACTGAAGGCAACTAACGCGCGAACCTCCTTTATATCAAGTCTGCAAGTTTACTTAACAAAAAATAACCGTTTATTTAACTTTACACTATAAACAAATAAGTTACACATAGTGGCTACAGGAAATGTACTAATGAACATTATTTTTACATTTATAATAATCATTTTTCCAGAACTATAAAATATATTTAAACAAAGGTATGTAAAGGCTCTGAAATTTTCGCGTATTTTTATAAGACTTGTCTTATAAGGGCTTGTCTTATAAGTCTCATAAGGGCAACGAGCGGCAGGAATAGAGATGGGCAGAGGGAAAAAACCCAACGGGAATAAACATTTTCATTATTCATCGTAATTATCAAAATCTTGAAAAAAATTACATTGTTTTTTTTTGTAGTACAAGTGCAGTGAAAAATAGGAACTGTATTGTATATAGTATAGGTAGAAAAATAAGCAAAAATAGGTATACAGGGTTATTGGTGATTGAACGTATTCCTGTTAGGAGGTAATAGAGGGGATCATTTGTGATAATTTTTACCCCTATATGCATCATACAAAAGTTAATCGTTTTCGAGTAATCTTGATTATTCGATTTGATGTTCGAGATGCTGGTCTCTAGACATCCGCAATGCCAGAGAAATAGCAGATGCGTTACCTTTTAGAAAGCGATACGTTCGATAATATGATTTTCATAACGTTGACTAAATTAATGGAGCCGTTTGAAAATTCTATTTTATACAGAAGTACCGTGTGTAAGATAATTAGAGACGCTTATGTCGTGTTGTCCGCAGCCGCTTGCGGCCGCGATGAAGAATTATACATACATAATTAGTGTGACGAAATATTCTAGTTGGGATAAAAGTAAAAGTTTGTATTTGATGGAGTGCAGTTTTTGTCCAGGGTCGTGTGTTGCCCAAACCGACCTTCGTGAAGGCAGTGGCATTTTAACAACACTCTGCAATATGCACGAGACAACTATCTGTAGTGAATTAATATTTCTAAACTAATTAGAATCAAGGTAAATTTGTAAAGAACGGAAATAGTAATATATGAATTATTTGCAAAAATATTTTCATATTCAAATTCATTTCGAAGGATACTACGAGTAAACGTATGATTGTGAGTTTATAGGATGCATTATTTATTACTTATACTTATTTTTTTATCATAAAAGGTGGCAAACGAGCGGCGAGAATACCGAGGTGGTCAGCGACGCCCATGCACATCCGTAACACCAGAGGAACTAGAGATGCGTTGCCGGCCTTTGAGGAAATGATAGGCTCGCTTCTTGAAGGACCCTAAGTCGTATTGGTTTGGAAATACCGCCGAGGACAGACCGTTCCACAACGCGGCTGTGCGGGGCAGAAAGTTCCGAAAAACCGCACGGTTGTGGAATGCCAGCCATCGAGATGGTGAGGATGGTACCTGGCGGTCTGTCGTGTCGTCCGATGACGAAACTCTTATTGAAAGATTACGTATTATTAGAGAGTCAGGGATATAAAAACTTTGTTTGCTGCCCTCTCCTAGTCTTATCCTATATCATCGGCGATATTCATGATGTCATGTGAATCAGATACATGTTTGTACGTTAAAAGTAATAAGGATATGACGCGCAGGTGTCACACTGATCGCTGCATCCTCCGCCATCTTGTGCAAACAAAATGGTATTTGTGCAAATGTTACACTTGCATACTAACAGCCCCTAAACAATGTAATATTCGATTATCTTTATTAGTGCCTGTCTTGTATTTAAACACATTTTATCCATACTACTAACGATATCGTTAATTGAAAGTCTTTTTGTCATCAAACATAATGATATCCTTACTGTACGAATTACACGATTAGTTGGACCTCTTGGTACAACGTAATTTTTACATTACAATAGAACAAAGATAGCGAAAAAAAATGGATAATTCGCAATTAAGGGCACACAATGTTAAGCACATTTTAATAAGTAAAACGTTCACATTGTTATAATTAAAGTATTTAATGGCATAATAAAATATTAAATCCGCACAAGCAACAACGTATGAGAATTGAAGTGAAGGTGGCTACAGCACGTTGCGTAGCCGGCTCGTAGCACGTAGTACCGCTCCCGTCTACATTATTGTGTTTAAATTACTTGAGGTTAACAATACAAATATTTAACATACATTTAATCGCAAAACGTAATATTCGTAGAACGGAATGCCGGGCTTTGGCAATCAATTTGCAACTCAGAGTAGTGCGAATTTTTGAGTACCGATGACTCAATGTTATGTGGTACGATTATGTTTCGATGTACATTGTAGACACACCTTTCTGAACTAGGCATATACAATGTATCATGGGCAACATCTGGACGATATGAAGAACATTCTAGAAGTTGGTGGAGTATTAGTCGTGCCTGAGGATACGCCGGCAGCGGCGGCCGCATTGCGCAAGCGCCTATGCGGAGTGAAAAGGTCCGCACTCCGCGTCTCTGCAGTCCGCAAGGCGCTCGCCGCGCCGCTCTGAACTTGAACCCGATTCGTGGCTCGTATTTGACGGTGGCCGCGATACCTTATGTAATACAGCGTTCTTAATTAACGCGCGCTCCGACCGCCTTCAGTTAGAGAATTAATTACTTATTTAATAAAAAACCGACCATTTTTAAATGATGTTAATAATCGGCGACGTAGTATAAAAGTCTACTGAATCTAAATTATTGCCGAGGTGAAATGTGACATTACAACGATAGCGAGTGGCGGAGTGGCGGAGTGGCGGAGTGGCGGAGTGGCGGAGTAGCGGAGTGGCGGAGTGGCGGAGTGGGATGCTGGATGTTGTGTTGCGCAAGGCGGAACAGACAGAAATGTTGACAAAACATCGCGCGGAACTCACAAATCAGAAACACTTATTTTTGACCTTAATTTAAAATTACCCTAGTATTGAATAACCCAGAATTCGCGGATCCGGCATTGGACTAACAAAGGAAAACGTAAACGATATGTTATGATGCCTCGGTTTAACATTTTTCTATAAAAATAATAAATAGGAACACTACACTGCTGGCCGTTTAGTTATTTTTCATCTAACCTGAATCAGTTACGAGTCCTACATTTACTTACGAACGCACTCACTATACTGATTATGTTTCATATATGCCAGGAATATCGGCAGCAAATTACAACTACAAAAACTTAATTGGTTAAAGGTTTATTCACGGAAAACATCTTTTTAGTAATAACTGGGTTCGGTTTGGATGAAAATTGGGATATTGTCGTCCTCAAAGTAAATGAGATCAAACCAATCTAAAACTGTCAAATTCTGGATGGTAAGCACTTATTTTCAATAAAAAATGACCAATAACTAAGTGAGTACTTAAAACACCTCAGGATGTCAGTTTAGTAGCTCAAGCGTTATTAACCATAATGAGGTTGTCGTGTAACGCGAGTACCGGCCATCAACTAACGGTAATTGTTGTACCCAAGTACAAGAGCGCGACCTTTACACATTTCCCGGGGAGTTCATATAACACTGACGAAAACAAACCATTCCTGAAGATTTAATTCATTCATAGAAGAACGTTTTACTTATAATCATTATGTTATTGTAAACACGTTGGCACATCGCAGTAATCTGTACATAAGAAGACATAACATTTACGTAAACGTTTACGACGAATTATAAACACGTCTCACGGCGCTCAAGTGCAAAGATTAGCATAGGAAGTGGGTTGCGGCTCGCGGGGCTCGTATCTTGCATTTCGCAAGCGACCGGCCTCGCCTCCGCTTATCCAATACATCAAAATTGGGCAATCGGCAATTTCTAGCGATTGAACACCCACAGCGGTACTGTGCGGTGCGGTGCGGTGCTGTGCTCGCAGTAAACAACTGATGACCGCCGCATTGCCATCACTATGCTACTTCCTAGTGGCTGTGTCGACTTTCACAAGTCTCGTTTGTAAAACCCAGAAAAAACCTTTCGAAATACTGCATAAATTAAACGTGGCCCAAAAACAATGATATAATATTTAATTAGCATTATACAATCACTCACCTAATTTTTGTGTATGTCAAGAATTTCATTAAAAAAAATCTCACTGCACTAATTCATAAATAACACTGGCACTCACGATTGTAATAGAAAAGAAAATCGATGTCCGTGTAGAGGAACGTCACTGAACTGTCAAAAGGAAAGCGCGCCAACCGCTGCGGCCATGGCGGGCGACGGCGACGGACTATCGCGAGCCGCCAAAATATGAGGCCAAAATGATCGTTGCACAACACTTTATTACAGAGTATTACATAAAAATCGCCGGTGGGCACTCGGCGGTATATTATGCAAAGAATGGTCGAATTTCTCGGTGCTTTTTAGGTTATAGGATGGGTCCTTGTCGAAGTATTTTTTTTAATTCGTCTGCGGCGGCTGGTAGAAAGTGTCCATGCACCTGCGCCGGCTCGTGGTTCACAATTGAAGTGGCAGTGGAGAGTCGACATCTTTCCCGACAACCGGACCCCCACCTTGAAAGAAATGCTAAGCGGCCAGTGGCGGGAAGCAGCCAGCACCGCGGGGCCAGCGCGGGGGCCAGCGTGTGTCAGCCAAGTCGGTGGCGAAACTATCAATGGTTCGACAATCAAGCATGTTGCGACGATTTTATTTTTTCTTTTTTAATTATTACTAAAGGCCTATTTTATCTCTTGGATTAGGTAGCAGAATTACAAATTTGAACTTCAATAACGGTAGGCATTGCGGCTTAATACGTTACAATAGAAATACGTTTAAATTAATTTACGCGTAGATTGTACGCTTGTAATACCGCAACTAACTATTCCATTTAGAGCCTTTCTATTTTTATTGTATTAAATTAATGGGGATTAACCAATTAGCGTTTTTTTTTGCAGTTAACTACATTACCAAGCGCTGGTGATAAAAGCAACAATATTTTGTACATACATAGGTAGAGAGCCTGCAGTAGCAGCGACGTTGGGTAATCGTATTATAAATCGTTAGAATAGCAATAACGTTAGTGAAAATTACGATTTTGTTATCAGATATCTTAAACAGGAAAAGCAAGTCGACGAATGTATAGTTAAATAAAAACTTTACTCCTTATTTTCTTTGAAGTGCTATATTTATTTTGTGACGGTCAATATTATATTAAGAATAAGTCAATTCTTTCGAACAATAACTTGTTTTGTCTTCATTTGTACTCTCTGTACTTAAGTCTCAGTATTTATTAATTGTAAGTAACTATGTAACACAGTAACACAGTCCAACCCTTGCCGATTTATCATTCTATAAATTAGCAACAAGTGCAGTTTAGTTACGTCATAATAGATAAATATAAAGCACCAGTACATAATAATGCTCAATGTTTCGCAATGAAACCGCATCTAATTGCCGACATTCTGTATTTATGTCAGTATAGGCGTAACGCACCACTTCTCTGCTCACCCCGCAAACACCAATTTCGCTAGAATTTCTCCATAATTGCTTCTAAATATGGGTAAAAGTTAGCTAGAATAGATTTAAAAATGGTTTTCATTATCTAGTACATATGTAGATAATTTAGGGGCTTGTTTGATTCGTGCTGTATAAATAATCAAATGCAGCGCTGATCGGGCGCAACGGCCTTGAGGCGAGACTCATTTCACTGGACACAGAGTTTATTGCCAATATCTTTGCGTGCTAAGTGTTTCGAGCGTGCAGTGGAGCGCAGCCGCAGCCCGCTGCAGTGAGCCTATCTTGTATAATAGCCATGCGATGCGACGGACATCACCTACTTTCTTTAAGGTGGCGGAGCCAATGCTAAAATTAAATTCTATGCTGCTCCCAATGGAAATCCATGATCTCTAATCCCTGCCATACGACTTTTAATCCGTTATTCTCAGAAATTAGAGTTTGAAAATGTTCCTGTTCTTTCGCCATTGAAAAAAACGATCATTAAATACAATGGTGGCACCTTTTATTAAAATCTATCTGAAGCAATGATCTGGTGACGTCAGGCTACGAATATTTTTTTATAATTATTGCCCCACAATCATATTTTAATATGGTCACCATGGCCAGAGAGGGAAAAATGTTACAGTTATTGAGGTCTCGCTCGGCATTAATTTTTCGACAAGAGTTCTTCTAATGGTACATCCATGTATTTTCTATAATTTCTAAACGAAAATATCATGACATAATTGCTGTCTCAGTGACAGTGGACTGTTCGTTCTTGTGTGAAAAAATGATTTCTCCTTAGTTACTATTGGCTGAGTAAATTCCATTTGACAGCTTGGACGCTTTTCAACCAATCACAATACATATTGAATTTGAGGAAACGTAAATGAAAAGTTGAAAGGATATTATTGATTATATATTAGAATTGTTTTGTTGTGGTAAAAATTTGAAAAACGAATATTATAAAATTACTCCAGGTTTAGTCAAAGTAATATATTGGAATTAATGACCTAGTTAACTAGAAAACTTCCGGCTTGTTTTTGGTCATCTTATATCTTCATTATTCATTGGCGTTATTGAATTTAGTGCAGAAACATGCTACCACGACCTTATTACACTGAACAAGATATACGAAAGCGACAAATTGATACTTTAAAAATTTTCAACGCTAACGTAACGGAAATAAAAGAGAATGCCGAATATAGAGTGGAATTTTCTGCTGAAGGGAGAAATATGAGTTTGAATATTATCTTGAGTCCGGAGTTCCCGAACGAAAAGCCCGCAATATTCGTAAACCCAGTGTTTTCTCACCCTTGGATAGCTGACAATACAAATCAAGTCATCGGTGCACCTGGATTGATTAATTTCACACTGCACTCAGACCTAGGTAATATAATATATTAGGATACACCTTTGTTTACGTATATAAACTTCTACTAATTAATTTAAACTAAACATTGCCCCATTACGTCAAAATAAGATGTCTATATGTAACAAATACCACATGCATAATTAGAAAAACATAACTTCCATTGTTGTAAAACATAATCTATTGCTTAAAATGATTTAAAATTTAAACATGATTTGTTTATTATATTGGTACATATTCACAGGCCGTGTTGTTCAAGCTATCACAAGGGAGTTCCAGCGAACAGTGCCTGTGGTGTCGGGCCAAGAGGACAAGTGCACAGACACCAGCCCGCAGTCGCAGCTCAGCTCACAGTCCATGGTGTTCCCAGAACTCACTGACTTTAGCATTGATGAACTACAAGAGATATTAGAAAATCCTGATTTACAGGTAGGATTCATTTTTACCAAATTTAGAGAAGTGTTTTAACATGAAATACCTAGACAGAATGATGTTGGATTATAAAGATTAACTTAATATGTTTAAATTTTTTAAACTCCTATTGCAGGACAAACTGCTCGAATCAAACCCTCAACTGGTGGAGTTAGATTTAGAGACAGAGGAGGTGATGAACAGCATAGAGCAGATAGCGCAGGAGAACATGGAGAAGCAGCAGATGCTGGACGAGCTCAAGTCGGAGGTGATAGAGCGCATCTCCAGCATTGTGCAGATGAAAATGCAGTACGAGGAGCTCAACAGGAAGCACCAGAAGCTGGCGGAGATGTACGACCCGCACCGCATCCGCGACTGTCTCCGGGAGGCGGCGCTTAAAGCAGATGAGGAGTCAGAGGTTATCGCAGAACAATTTTTGTTAGGTAAGACTTAGTTCTTGTTTAATAATAAATAATTGATTGTCATATGGTAGAGCTTTAGCGGCTCGGGGTTAAAAACTAGAGTGATCTTTAGATCCTAGGTTCGAATCCCTCCATCTAAAAATGTTTACATTTTCGAATTTCATGTGTACTTTTATGTGATGTTCTTATGGTAAAGTAAATATTGTGATGTCGGAACATATCTGTTAAGTAAGTATGTGTAGTATTAAGCCATAGTAAGCCAGTGTGGCTGGCTAGGGCTGTCATGGTGAGTGTGAAGTGCGGTGTTGGCAGGCAAGTTGCCGGTGGAGCGGTTCGTGTCGCGGTTCGCGGAGCGGCGCGCGCTGGGGCAGGCGCGGCGCGCGCGCGAGGAGCGCCTGGCGCACCAGCTCGCGCAGCTGCACAAGGCCACCTCCTAGCTCTCCTCGCTCTCCTCGCTCTCCTCGCTACCCCAACTACATGTCATTTAATGTTGTTGAAACATGTTTATGTCTTTCATTTGTTGATTTATTATATATCTGTAAGCCCTATATGATACTGGACAACAGTTATTGATGTTTATTATTTAATATATCAACATGATTGCATATTTAAGAGATTGGTATCCACTTAATAATGTTTAGAGGAATGATTACTTTAAAATACAATAAATTACAAACACATCTAAGGATGTTCTTTTGTATTTAACTTCATTAGGATATTCATAATTTAAAGTAGCTCTGATATAATTTAGAAGTTTATATACAAAGATAGTCTTCCGCTAGTAATTCTAATAAAAATAAAGTGTCCAGTAAATTAGTTACATTAATGTCAAGTATCATTTAATATTCATTAAAATTATTATTTAAAGATAATGAGTTTCATTTTCTTAAGCCCGCAACACACGCTTAACTTTTAACTACAACTGCAAACCGTACAGTTTAACTCACAGTTAAAATTTCGCATGCTCACGCACAATTTCAACTGTACAGTTCGACCGTTCATTGAAAACTGAATATGTGAAAGCTGTATCTCACTAGCCATTATTCGCGACTTCTACCTCACAGGATTAAAAAGAGACATTAGTAATAAATGTAGCATATGTTGCGCAGTGATTACATAGCTTTCTATTGACAAAAGAATTTAAGAAATCGGTCTAGTAGTCTTTGAGTTTATTCGTTACATTCAAACATACAAATTTTTCCTTTTTATGTGATTAGTATAGATGCCCGTACGTTTAAAAGTGTCGAAGATAACTTAGCGCCTTTACTAAACGTAGCGGCAATTGTACAGGGCGAGGATTTGTGACGAAAAGCGAATCACCCTAGATGCCATGAGTCTTTGTTGAATCCTCGTTGAACTATATAAAAACAATGTGTGGTAAGACGAGAGACTATTTACATTGAGTTGAGATTGGATCAGATGGATCTCACATAGCAACAGACGTTTTCAAATGGCGACAGGCCACGTGTCCTAGCTCCTAGCCCACTTGCACTCGCTTATGAATAAAATCATAATATTAAGTTGGTGTTTATTGGTATAATTGAGAAATGTATGGTGTCGGCTGCAAACAGGCTGTCGTTGTGTAAGACAGGAACTCGCTTCGCCGCTGCCGCTGCCGCTGTCGCCGCGCCGTCCCATTTATTACATAAACATATAACACCGGTAACGAAGTTTTTGGAGATCTAACAAAATATTATATCATGGGTCGTGGGAATCGGAAATATTTTATAATTTTGTTTCTATTGCAAATTATAAAGACGACGAATTAAATCCTTGATACAAAGTCCAGCGTTTAAGCCGCCATCATGACCTTCTCTTTACTGGTCTGCTCAAGTACCTCTGGGTGCTAGATTTTTATAAGTAACTGTAGAAGTCGACTGAATACATACATACTATAGTCTTTGTTTAGTAATAATTGCCAAGACAAGTGAATCTTTTTTTAGTAATAATTGCCAAGACAAGTGAATCTCATTCTACAGTAACAAAAAGCAACTCTAATAACAGCTGGTGGTTAGAAGCGAGTGCACCGCAGCAGTAGCCGCAGCCGCTACGTGGAGCGATCACATTTGTGCGGTCAATAGGCGGAACAACAATAATAAAATGCAATTAATCGTTCGCCGATGGACCGCGACGTTTCTTACACAGACATGAAATTCCTTTTGGAACTTATTAAAAAGAGCTTAATAACATCATTCCTGCGGGATGTTCTTCGCGATTACGCTACACGCATAGACGAGACAGAAGTAACAGATTCTTTGTGTACACCAGCTGCATGTATTTATTTTTAAATGGGTTTCTATTTTTTATTCGCTATGATAATAACCCAATATAGTTATTTATAATTATTCAATTATCAAATAATAGTTGTAATGAAATATTTGTCACAGCTGCCTTCTCGCTAATAACTATGCAAGGTCGAACGGTTGGTCGCTAGATTAGTTGATATCGCGGCGGTGTGATAGATAGCCACTAAGTTTATTAATATATTTCCCGCATGATGAAATATTCGTACTATTTAGCGAAGCTGCAAAGTGAGTCCGGCTCAGCAGACACGAGCGGCACAGACGGCCGGCCGCGGCCGCGCGCCTTGCACAACAACCTTTCTACTATTCAACTCTGCTTTATTAATGTCACGGTCAAAGTATTTAAAAAATCTGCTTATTGTGTTTTGATTTGATTTTGATGAGTGTTAATTATCAGTAAACGTTTACATTTCAAAACGGTTCGCGTGACAGAAATGGCGGGAAGACGATACGACAACGTGGTTTTACTGCTTCTCGTTTGTTTATCGAATACAATATACGGTCTCAAATTGGAGCAAGTTCTTATTCTGAGCAGACACAACATCAGAACCCCGCTCACCGCGAGGCTCGAAGACACGACGCCTTACAAATGGCCCCAGTGGAAAAACGAAGTCGGCCATTTGACAGACAAGGGCGCTCTACTGGAGAGTTATATGGCCGAATATTTTGCCGAATGGCTGAATGCGACGGGCCTGCTCCCGCGAGGATGTCCCGAAGATGCCGACGTGTTTGTGTACGCGAACACGAAGCAACGCACGCGGGAGTCGGCGCGCGCCTTTGTCCGCGGCGCGTTCGGAAACTGCAGCCTCAGCGCTTACAGCATCGACTCTGAGGACATGGATCCTGTGTTCAATCCTGTCCTACGAGATACTTCGGAGACAACGAAGATAAAAATTACAGGCGAAATGAAACAAAAATTGAAAGAATTAAAGCTCGAGGCTGCTTACAAGGAATTAAATGAAATCATTGATTTAAAAAATTCTGATATTTGTCGTACAAATAAATTTTGTGATTTCAGTCTAGGTGAAAATGAGATCGTGTACGAGATAGGAGAGGAACCTAATGTTGTAGGGCCGTTGGCGACGAGCAACAGCGTAATGGATTCATTCATCATGAGTTATTACGAAGGTATGGCCGATGAGGACGTGGCATGGGGTAAAATTACTAAACCCGAGCAGTGGGCGCTTTTGTCCACAATAATAAGAGAAAACCAAAACGTTCGCTTCAACAGTACCGCGCTCGCAAGGGACGTGGCCAAACCTTTACTACAGTATATAAAATCAGTGTTTGATCGTGCTCCACCTAGGAAAGTGACAGTCCTTTTCGGACACGATTCTAATCTGAACTCGGTGATGTCGGCTCTGGGCTTTAAGTACTACGAGCTTCCTCATCAGTATGAAGCCACGCCGCCGGGAGGGAAAATTGTTTTCCAGAAGTGGCGCGACGAGAGCACAAATCGATATTTGCTAAAAATCAATTACGTTTATCAGTCGACAGATCAGATTCGGGAAGCATCTCGCTTGTCTCTGGGCAAGCCGCCGCTGTGGGCGCGGCTGGAGCTCAGGGACTGCGCCGCGGACGGCGACGGATTTTGTCCTTGGAATGAGTTTCAAAATGTTTTGGGTGCCATATAATAATATATTTGTAGATTTAATTTAATACATGCATTGCTAACAAGTCTTAATCTTAAGTCAAATAGTGACATGTTAAAAAAAATGTAGCTAGTGTTTAAAAAAAATGTTTATCTAACTTCTTAACGTAATATGATCTTAGAGTAGCGTTTTAGATAGTAAGGAACCAAAACTAAGCAGAAATGTGTCTGTTTTTCTCATGTATCTCCTTAAAGTGAGAAAAGCGTGACACAATTATTTGCTGTGAATAGATTAAGTTTGGTAGTGAAGGTGCACTTGTAGTGCAAACGCAACACATTGATAGAATTATTAAAGAAATATATAAAATCCAAACAATATGAACATTTGTTTTTTCAAGCGGTCTATATGGATATGGAAGTAGGTCGCTACCTTTATTTTGGCGCTTTGTCATATTTAATGTCAGTTGGCTGATCAGCTGACCTGGTGATCAGCTGACGTTTGTTTATCCTAATTTAAAAATGACAAAGCGTGTGAATGTGAAAGTGTCAAATGTCAATGTCGTGCAGCTACATATGTAAACAAGATATCGTTTCTGCGATTCTTGTTTTTGGCACCGACTTACAATTGCAATTTATAGGAATTTAGCTAATGTTGATCACAAAACGTAAGTATTAATTTTATAAGATAAGGCGGAAGTCATCGTGGACACGTCTTAGTTTAATATTTAATAATATTACGTGATAGTTGGGTCTTCATTCGTTTGTCCTACATAAATGGAAAAGGGTAAATAGTGCTAGTTGCGCGGAAAGTTTGAACACAGTTGAACGTTAAACAAGTCCTAATTTAGTTCTTACACAACGATGTTACGTAGGAATATTATTTTAATTCGCGCTAAAGCTATTCATTTACAATCTGCCAGAGATTGTAACTAGCGCGTCGTGAATGTGCATGACTCCGACAGTGTTATTTTAAAATGTTTACAAAATTACTCTTTGTTGGTTGTGTTTTAATTTTGAATCCAGTGGAGAGTAGATATTCGTTAAAACAAGTTGTTATTTTAAGTAGGCATAATGTGCGAACGCCGTTATCTAAAAATTTAAACGAGTTATCTCCCAAGCCATGGCCAAGCTGGAAAGTTAAAAGTGGATATCTAACCGCCAAGGGTGCATATTTGGAGGGACTCATGGGTCGGTATTTTTCAGCCTGGTTACAAAAAGAGGGGTTGCTGGAAAGTTCATGTCCTACAGAAGATTTATTCTATGCATATGCAAATGCAAAACAGAGAACAAAAGCTTCGGCAATGTCATTTGTAGAGAAAGCATTTCCTAATTGCAATATAAAAGTACATTTTAAAGGTGAGTCAGACCCAGTGTTCAATCCTGTGATACACAACACCACTGCACATTTCAGGAATATCGCCTTCAAGGAAATGGAAGCCAGATTAAAAGATTTGACATTAAACAATTCATTGCTATTTATAGAAAATATTTTAGACTACAGAGATTCTAAGCAGTGTAAAGTGAAAAAGGAATGTGATTTGTGTGCAGATGAAAATAGTATTGATTTAAATGTTGGGTACAAACCAAATGTTTTGGGGCCTCTCAAAGTTGCCAAGTCGGTCATTGACTCCTTTGTGATGTCATATTATGAAGGGTTCCCGATGAAAGATGTTGCCTGGGATTTGATTAACGACGACACCCAGTGGCAGCTGGTAATGGCGATAAGCAGGGGTTATCACGATGTTATTTTCAACACTACACTTGTTGCAAAAGATATCGCATCTCCGCTTATAAAATATATATCAGATGTATTTATGAACAAAAAGGGGAATCCAAAAGTAACACTAGTGATGGGACATGATGCAAACATTCTCACAGTATTAAATAGCATGAATTTCAAAGCTTTTAATTTACATGATCAGTTTGAAAAGAGTCCAGTCGGAGGCAAATTGGTGTTTCAGAAATGGTATAATCCAGACAGTGAGAAAAACTTTTTAAAAGTCAATTATGTGTATCAATCGACTGACCAGCTGAGGGACGGCTCGGATCTCACAATAGAAAGTCCTCCTCAGTTCATACAGTTGGAATTAAATGATTGTAAAGTTGACAAAAGTGGATTTTGCCCATGGGACGATTTTATAATGTTTTTAAAGACACTTTTATGAATAGTTTACTTTTTACTGATACAGTAACAAGTTTGTGATTTGTCTATAAGTAGGACTTCTATACTCATGTTTTTTAACTTTGAAAAGTTTATCAAAAAGACAGTATTTAATGTAAGTCTTTACTTCAGCTTAGTACATTCAACAATTTTTTTTTATCAATTTACATCAAAGTTAATTGTTAACTATTTTGATACAAAGTGCCAAATATTTTCATACTCGAATAAAGTTTTGTTTAATTCATTTTGTTTCATTCAGGTAAATAATAAATGGTGTAGGATCTTAGTGCTTTGACTTTATAAGTAGGAAGAAAACAAATTTGTGCATTTTGAAAATTTTATTTAAACAAAACTACACTAACAAATGGAATTGGCAAATAATTATAGAAAGTGAGATTCTCGCTACAGGTTACAAAGCAAAATGTGTACACACAAAATAAAATCAATTGCATTACAAACAAATCAGTATTTATAATTAAATTACATTATTTTAAAAAAATATAAAAGTTAGAAAATTGAGATTTAATTAAAAAAGTTTTAGCTGCCCTAATCTCAGATTTAGGAAACACTTTTACCCAGAATGGGGTAAAACGAAGTTAAGATCTTAAATTAAAAAAAAATGGATGGAATATCTCAGTCAAACTAGAAAAAATCAGTCAAAATATTAAGTTTAAAAAGTTGTAAAAGTTTAGAATACAAAATGTTGGAATGTTTAATAAATTTATAGTAATTGGTGCTTCATTATACGCTGACAGAACTATCCTAATATTACCTAAGCCTGCATTTTATTGATTTACTTGGTTATCAAAATTTTTCTTTTTATTTTTGAGGCCATCCATTCATTGTCAATGTTTGTAAACTGGTTCATAAACTGTGAATGTTTCCTTACAACTACTGACGTTATACAGATAGATATTTGGTGGAATTAACTTAAAAGAGGTAATTCTATTGTATATACCCCACACTATGACACTACAAGAACAACATTGCTACAAAAATGTATGACTTTACAATATTGCATATTTTTAAATTTTCTTCTGTAATCTGGGTTTAGTCCATCTATTCAGTATCCCCTTGTGACAACTTTAACATTCTGTATAATATTCATTCATTGTCACCTGAATAGTATGAAAACACTGATCTGTATAAATGGATAGGTTCTATCTTGATAATGACAGATGTTGCTTCAGTTTAAATTAAACGCGCCTGTGAATATTAAGGACAGTAAGTAAGGAAGTACCATTTATTAAAGCCTGTCTATTTATAGAGGTCAGTGTATCAAGGTATGATATTTCAAGTTTCAACACAGTGTGGGGTGTGGCACTTACATCGTTATCACTATTTGGTAAACATCACTGCAACAAACGTAAAGCTATTCACACGAATATTTAAAAACAAACTAAAAAAAACCAACATCAATGGTACACAGTAAACTGCTACATCTACAGTGAAACGAATACAAGGGGAATCGGTTATTTTCAAATACAAAATTATAAACGCACGTTACTTAATAAGCCTAACTTGTATGGATAAAGTACACATTGAAATAAAAGTTAACACTAAGCAGCTATATTTAAAATTACATCACACTAAATGAAGCTTTGCAAGGATTTAGACTTTGTATTTGTTTTCCAACAATCCATACGCATAATGTAGTGCTACAGGTGATTTTTCCCGTTGGCTTTTGGCTACTAGAGTGCCGGTATAAAAGAGTCGATGTTTTACTCAAAAAAAACATACAGACGAATTGAGTACCACCTTCTTTTGGGAAGTCGGTCAAAAATATGTTTAAACCTAATGTTTTATAATGTAAAGCCTTATTCTTTTATTTATACTAATATTATAAAGAGGAATGATTTGTATTTATGCATGTATTGAAATAACTCAAAAACTACTAGGCCGATTTTAAAAATTCTTTCGCCATTAAAAAACTACATTGTAATCAGTGTAATCATCAGTGTCAATGAGTAACATGCTTTTTTTTTAATTTCAACGGGCGAAGTCGCGAGCAACAGCTAATTTATTATTCGGTAACTTCAGATAGTGTGACATAGTCATATTCTCGGTACAAAAGTATTAAACTATACTAAAATCGTATTCTATATTTGTAATGTCTATGAACACTTGTTAACATAGTTATTGTATATTTATAGACCTAATTGATTCCGTTTTAGAAAACTTACATCCATTTTATTATAAGAAACACATCCTTTTTATTCAGATCATTGTTTTAGAGTCCTAAGTTTACTATTCTATTCTTATTCTAAGCTATACATAATTGTTTTGTAAATGTCTACATGTGATGTCATTGAAAATTATTATATAAAAGATTAAATTCTACATAAAAGCATTATTGATATAAAAATCAGCCTTACATCGTACGTAAACTACCGATACTAACATACAGATATTCAAAAATTAACTATTATTTTCGTAATGACTTAAAAAATTAAAATCAAATTTAAAACATGTGAAATTTTTCAGATCAATTTAGAGAAAAAAGCCAATTTGATAAGCTTACATATCTAATGATATTTAGCGAAATAATTTAGTTTTGAAAATATCCGCCATCTTTGCTACAACATGGCCGACTGTCGCAGTGTTGCCAACAATACAAGTTCAAGTCAGTCCATTTTCAAAGATTTTTATATTACGACCGTAAAATATATAATTAATTAGAAAATATTATATAAGTACATCTTTATAATTATAATTTTTTTTTGTCAAGATGTAAATATTCTTGTATCTCTCTACGGGAAATTATATAAATATTTCTATTCTTTACTTTCATATAATATACTAATATTTCTATATTTATTGTTATTGTATGAAATGTATCACTTTATCGAATTCATTGTACTTTGACATAAGACTTTATATATTTGCAAGAGATAGAGAGAGACAGATATAAAAAAAATGAGGTAATTTAATGAAATGTAACCGAAAAAGGGAATTTAATAATTTTGGTTTAAAGAAGTCCTCTTCAAATAAATATTATATAAAATGTGCAAATGTTAGACAAGTTTCAAGATAGATATAGATCATTCGTTTCATTCGTTCACTGTACGTTAACGTGTAGATGTAGTTTATTCGTTCCATTCATTCACAAGTACAAGGGAGATACGATATTATATGGAATACGTACGATCAGATTTAATAAAGGTAGAAGAGGCAGGAGAGGAGCGGCAGCAGGTGTGTGTGGGGGGTGCGGGGGGTGTGCGGGGCGCGCGGGGCGGCGCCGCGCAGCCGCGGGTCCAGCTGCAGCCCCGGGAAATTAATATCCGGGATGGAAGACTCTGCAAAGATCCCCTTTTATGTCTCATATTCTTATTGTAACTAAGAATCATTTTGAAAATGTCTGCATTAATACTGTTTGTAGCGAATGCAAATTACTACTCGTCTCGATCAAATGTCTACTTCAATAATACAATAAGAGCAAACAACATGCTTTTTATAACGCATTAAATAAAAACAAAAGGTACAGTTTAATTTATACTAAAATACACCCGCTAGAGCAATATTGTATGCCGCCTCATTCGGAAGCTTAATGTCTCAAAACCAATACTTTATAGGGTATAGCATAATTGTTAGCTTGTCCTACTAGTTACCTGGCGGCTGTGGCGACTGTGGCGGCTATGGCGGCTGCGGGGAGCAGGGCGGTGGGTGCGGTGGGTGCGGGGGGCGCGGCGCTGCTGTAGCGCGCCTGCCCGCACGCCGGCGGACACACCGGGATTATCGTCTCTACAATACAGCCACATGCCACACTGGTCACTGCCGCACGCCGCATGCCGCACGCCGCATGCCACACGGCACATGCCACCGCACTAACACTACCACAACATGTGTAGCGGCAAGCTCATACAGCGCATAGTCTCTCATAGCTTTTCTAAATCTGCTTTCTAATGTTAAATATTATTTTCACGATACAAACACAGTACACACGAGTACTGTACTACGTCAGCATTGCAATTTAGGTGACCGCTTGCCGTTTGCCGTCTTATGTTATAAAAAAGCATCGTTATGAACAAGTCACTCGTGTGTAGGAATGTTTCAATAGACACATAGACATGTAGATGTAGAGGCATGTACTGACCGAAGAGCTGCACCTGTCCCTCGGCGGTGCCGAGCTTGTTCTGCGCCTTGCAGGTGAAGAGGCCGTACTGGCGCTTCTCGATGGTGATGACGCGCAGCGTGGTGTCCGTGAACTCGTCGGCGGTGGCGAAGTGCGAGATGCTGTAGTGCTGGTTGTTGGAGAGCTGCACCTCGTCCTTCAGCCAGGAGATGGCGGGCGGCGGGTACGCCTCCACGTGGCACTCCAGGTCCATGTCGTACTGCAGCGCCTGCGGCGGGAAGGGGCGTTAGGGGCGAGGGGCGATGGGGCGATGGGGCGATGGGACGGCGGGGCGGCGGGGCGCACCTGTCCGAGGCGGGGGCGCGGCACGGTGACGACGGGCGCGAACTCCACCTCGAGGTTGATGTTGCGGCGCGCGCCCTTGCCCACGCCGTTCTCCGCCACGCAATAGTACGTGCCGCGGTCCTCCTTGTGCACAGAGTTCAGCTTCAGGATGTTGCCCCTGCGACAGACGGACACATCACCTATATACTATACCACTCGAGATATGTAGTGTAAGTATGTTCGTGAGAATACCTATATATGGAGCCTCCGGTGGGCAGGATGGCGTTGTTCTCCCTGCGCCAAGATATCTTCGGCGAGGGGAAGCCGCCGGCGTAGCACTCCATCTGTGCACCTGCAAAGGAAGAATGGTTGTTGTAGCCGACTGAGGGTGATATGTAGTTACGGTAGTGACGTGTGTCTGTGTGACTGACTCTCGCCCTCGCTGGCGACGAGGGAGCGCGTGGAGTTGTCGGAGATGACGGGCGGCCGGCGCACCTGCAGCTCCACCTCGGCCGTTATCTTGTTGCTGACGGACAGCAGCACCTGGCACTGGTACCAGCCCGCGTCCGTCTCCTGGATGTCCTTGATCTGTAACGCGAGCGTCCCCGGTCAGTACGTGTCCTGTGCAGCGCAGGGGCGGTGGGGCGGGACCTGTCGCTGACCGAGAGCGTGTATGTGGCGGAGGCGGCGTCGAAGCGCATGGAGAATCGCGAGTCGCGGATGATGAGGCCCGAGTTGGAGGACAGCGGCAGCGCCTCCGTCGTCTTCTGGCGGTCGTACTTCATCTGCAATACACACAGACATACATTTTTTAACATATACGCGACCGTTACGTGCCTGTAATTAAACGTATCACAGATTTACATTGAGTAACAGCTCCTGTGAAAATGTTCTATGCGACATAATAAATTGTACTATGTTCATACAAAGTTGGGTGCTCCAGATAGACCGAAGCATCATATGTGAAGGCGGTCCCCGGTCACACGTCACTAAAATTTGTAAAGACCGTAGACGTTTTTTTCTAAAGATTCTTTCACACTTGGTGTAAGAAGCGTAGTGAATACGTGTTTAGAGGTGACTCTTACTAATGTTGGTGTATGTTGTAAGAGATAATATTTTTACATTTTTAATGGTTTACCTATTTTTATGTTGTAAAATATTAACGGATACCTTTCCAAATTGTCTCCTATACGTTCGGTACAATCGATTTAATCTAAACGCCTTTAAGAGGGTAACATTAAAACGCGAGCAAGTTCAAATCACTCAATCCCCTCTATAAAAATCTATTCATCTTATACCCACTTTATTAACACAACAAGGTACCTGCTAGACGTTTTTGTAATAAACGCTCCTAACTTTTGTACCACATCAAAAGGGTTGTAGGAGGGTGTGGTGAATAGGGAGTTTCACCCCACCCCTGCACCGGCCGGCGCGGTGCATCCACCTAATACTTGAGGTGCCTTTTGCCCTCATTACGGGAATCGTATGAGCATACGTACTTATGTAAATTTATTAATAATTCTCAGTTCGCTTCTATATCTTTAATTTCCTACTGCCATTAAAAAGTCGTTTTTTTGATACTAAATCGCCATTTGTGGTACTCTGATGATCATTTCACAAGTTTTAGTAGTTAAGAAAGGGTTGCCGTGTTAATGAAGTGTCTATTTACATACATGTATACTGTCAATATTTCTATTGACGTGAAATACTCTTAAATAGACTAATTATGAAATTAAAATTTATATTTGAATATCGCATGAATGTGATATAGCTGAGTTATTTTAGTACATCGCATGCAAGTTGAAACTAGATACAATGATCAGCGGTGAAGCTGTCACATGTACCGAGAGATCGTCCGCGAGTTCGTTATAGTGATGCATTTAGGAAAGAAAACAAAATAATTTTGATTCAATCCATGTGCATCTTGTTTCCAGATGTACAAGCCGGATATGTGTACTATATATTTAAAAAAAAGAAGTACTCATTGCGAGCGCTTCTTACTACTTGATTTAACGTTTTCTTTCTCTCGAGTAATATTTCAATTTATCTTTCTTTGGTTAATAAGTTATTTATATTATAAATTTCTTTGCGTACCAATAAACACGATTAAGAAATTATTTACTTAACAATGTTCGTAAACATTACGTGGGTTAAAAGCTATCGTATCACTATTGTCGTTGTTGTACTGCGGCTGTGTCATGTTGTTGTACTGCTATCTTATTTACTTGAACTTTGTACGTAGAAAGTGATATCGCAAAAAAACAAATGAACAAACAGTTACTTCAATTGTTCTGCGAAGAATGACATTAAACCAAACAACAGATTCAAGGGCTGTTTCAGCACTGATTGCTTCTCTAATGTACAAGTTTATTTCCTATCCATTTTTTATGTATATTTAGTAGTAAACATGTTAGCAGTAAAGTGGTGGTTGCAAACAGACACGTCGCGCGTCGCGGCGGTGTCAGTCAGTTAGACGGCCTCAGGGCTCGCAGCGCCTGAAGGGATTTAAACAAACTAATGAAACAACTATAACAACAGTTAGTTGAATAATCATACAAAGAGAAGATGCGTCAAGCGAGGACAAGATGAAAAAAAAAACTACAGGGAATCGATAACGATCGGTTTACGTCAAAAATGTTTTAATTCGTCTTTTGAGTGTTGTACTTGACATGATTTTAATGCCTAATAAACTTAAATGCATATCAAATAACGTGAGTGCGTACGGGTGAGATAAGCCTATAAATAGGCCACACAAACAGACAGAGAAAGCCGGGTAATCACTCGATTCTGTCAATACCCTTTTAGACGTCGCATGGCGTATCGCCGGCGGCCAGGACGGGGAAGGGGATACCTCCCATTCAGACGGCTCCATTTAAATGTGGGGGAGGAAATTGTATAACCGAAGTTTCACGTGCAATGAATAACAAATGCTGTTACGAAAATTACATAGGTATCGAGTGGAGGCGTTTAATTTTGGATGTCGTAGCTATGGTGCACGAATGCAAATTACATTTTGCTGTTTTACCCTACATCGTAGATTATATACAATTACTTCATTATTTTAAAAAGTATCTCCTCTCTGGAAAACATGTTAACTTAAAAATATCTGCGAAAAATCTTTACTAAGTAGTGAACATTTAAAAAGAGTAAAGTGAACTCAAGTTTGTAGTAAACCGTAAAAGTGGCTATAAAATAGTATTGTGCGTTGGCAATGGGCACAGGGTAGGGGACATGCAACCGCAATGCAGTGGACGCAGTGCTGCTGCAAATGCGGCCAACGGGATACTGCATAAAGATTCTCCCTGCACATATAATGTTATGTAAAGGACCTTTTTGGCACAATTTTCGCAGGATGTGGATTTTGGTCGTAGCTTTATTGCTAAAATACACTGTAAGGGATCTTTTTGTTTTGCAACGCATATCTGCTCTTTTTTTTATTTCATGTCGAAGTAAATAAATTCCTCGGTGAAAATGTCGTAAAACTCGTTCATTTCCCCAGAGACAAACGCAGGCAGGTGTGCGCGGAGTTTGCGCCCCTCAGACATAAAAAAACCGCACGGAGTGTTTTCACGTGTAACATGCTGCAAAACATCCCGGTACAAAGGGTACACTTTTTGAAGTCTAAATTAGACTCTATAATTATATGAGTAAGAAATACATTTGCATATCAAGCCTAAAATTAATTTAAGAATCCAGTTCAGGTGATACTTGGTGTTATTTAGTAATGGATTGTAAGGTATCACTAACCCACAGCACGGGGTAGTCCTGTGCGTAGTGCACGGAGCAGTCGAGGTCCACCTGGCCGCCGATGTCACGGATCTGCTCTTGAGTTATGTGTGATATCGTGGGCGTGCGCAGACCACTTGCTGTGGAAATACAAATTTATAGTTAATTATCAAATAATTTTATTAATTTGTGTTATATGAATATTTAGATTGTCCCTTATCAGTCAGTGCTTTTGTAGTTATCTTCCAAATAGTGAATAACAAAGCCTTTTGTAGCTAATAACTTATACCCTAAAGAAATCGTTTTTAAAAGGTTTGTTTGGCATACTTACTTTTTTTTTTTAAATGGGGGAACCTATTTTGTAAAATACATGCTGCCGACTTTCTCGTTTGTAACAGTTGCAAAAGGCAAAATAGAGGGCGGGCCTCCCTGCTGAGTACGAATTACTGATAATACGCTGCAGGGGTGGGGGGCGTAAGAGGGAGGTAATGCACATAGCGACCACCCAACAACCGACTTCCCTCTTCTAAGTTCTGTTTCAAGTTTTTTCCTAACTAATTAAAACTTACTTCGAAACCAGTAAACTGTTATTTTGTGAAATAGAAAAAAGATTTACATACATACAAAATTACGACATAAGTGAATACTCCAAAGTTCCATGTTGAGTATATTGACAACTACCCTAAAATGAGATTGATCACACAACCGTAGTAGCTAAAGGGGTTGAAGGGGTGAAACCGGCCGCTGCGGAGGGAGGGGGTGCGGGGTACGAACCGGCACACAATTTGTCTGCACCTACCCTCCTTACATTTTGTCTGTAAAATTTGGAGCAATTACCCTGTCAAGGGATTCGTTTTTAAACGTAAAATGTAAAGTTCCTTTTTACGACTTTAATTTAAACTAACTCATGCAAAGTTAAAAAATGTTTTTTTTTAAATCTTAGGTAAAGGGAATCCCCCTTTGTCTTGGGAAAGACATGTCAATCCCATAGTGCTGCTAGTAGACTTTAAGAAACGAGGTGGCATAATCGTACAGCTGCTTCCGAAGCTGGCTCAGCCAATATTGACATAATTATGCCTACATAGGACGGGTTGAGCTTTATCTCCCGGAAAACTAGCTCGCACTCCCGTCTGTTTCTCTCTAAGTTAATAAATGTTATATGTAATAAAGATAATTATTGTCCTATTTCTTTATTACATGGTTTACATTTGTTAATGTAACTTCTTTTATGTTAATTTTTATATGATGTGCAGTCCAAGGTTACTATTGCTGTGTAATTCAGCCAAATGCCAATAATTATTTCATGTATTTAATGAATAAATAAATGAATAAATGAATGCTGATTTCATACAAAATTGGATCAATTTCTCTAAAATACGTGACGAAGCTGAATTTTGCTGAGTTTTTAGCACTGATGCTATATCCTCATCACAAGTTAAAATGTAAATAATCTTTCTAATTATAGTTTAGCATTCAATATTTTAAAGATTTACTTTTCAGTTGATGGAATAGCCAGTTTTTTAATATATTGTTTGTTATAAGCTTTCTCCTGGAACTCTATCCAGGTGCAATTAAAAAAAAAGTAAGTAGCCTATGTGTTCTTCCAAACTATGCTCTGCATCTAGGCCAAATTTCATCAAGATCCATTTAGTAGTAAAGGCTACAAACTCTAACAAACATCCATACATTTATTTAAACTTTCACATTTATAATAGTAAGTAAGATAAGCATAAAAATATAAATCTGTTCCACTTTATAATAGTGTGTTGTAGTGTGTACTTTGGACATAACTTTGTGCTGTAAATATAATTTCTGATTGATGGCCTTTAGAAACAAATTCCAACCATATTTAATAGTTATGGTGTGAAAAAGAGTACAATCAGTCACCAATGTGCCGAGCGCTGCACAATATTAAAGGAAATCTAAAATTTAGTGAACCAAGAATCTGTACATTTTAATGATAAACAAAGTAAACAGTGAAACAATTTAAGAAGCAAAGTATTAAAATTTGACTTTAAAAGTATTTGATTTGCAATATTAAACTGAATTCACAAATAAGAGTTACTTGAGTACAATATAACTTTAATATCTGATTTCTGGTATTCTGAAGCCTATTTTAATTACAATGTTTAAAGATTATAATAGTGAGTTTTCTCTGTTTTAAAATGTGTATTACCACAGTATAATTTCCTTATTCTCCTTATAAAATAGAGAAAAAAGCCATGCTCTTACACAGGTGTCAGAATTTGAAATGCACAGAGAAAAGCTAAGTTTAAGTGATTTTTACAATCTAATTAAGATTTTAAAGTGTGATTTGTGTGTAAAGATGTATCATAAATCTTTATAGAGGTATCAAACAACTTTTTTTGGAACTAATCTGATTTTTGAACACCTAATTTCATTTTAATTTTTTTTATTTATTTGGCAAACTGTAACATCTTCATGTGACTAAGTTAGTACTTATGATGTTTACATTAAGTTAGTGTGTTTGGAGGTGATTTGCAAATAAAAAAATGAAAACAAAAGAACGTGCTTGTTAAGGGTGTGTCTGTCAGCCGTTACGTGTCCGTGCTCCGCGGCGGTAAACAATTGAAGATTGTGTGTGTAACGTAAAAGATACTTGTTCACGAAGCGGCAACATACCGTTGCAAATTTAAAAGTACATGAAATAGGTCATTCTAAGGTCTAGAATATTTAAACAATAAATATTAACTCACCAACTGTTGCTAAACATAGTAATATTTGAACGTATTTTAAATTTAAAAACGCCATTGCAAACAACGCTTCACCACACAACTAACAACAGCCAACTTTCGATTCGTTTTGTTGAATTGAAATTGAATGGAATCGAATTAGGATTGAATGGAATGACAAACTTGTACTGATTGAGATTGAGATTTTGTCAGTGGGAATGATGAACAAGGAACGGATGCATGACAGTGACAGAATAAACGGCTCGGTGTTGCCTTTTGCTTAATTATAATTTCATATTTCAAAAGCTACGTATATTATCATCGTTTAAAAAAACAAGATTCGAGTCATACAATAACTCATTCAAAGCATCATAATTTTAAAGTTACAGATTCTCATAATAATCATAGCGACATCTATATTTATACAAGTCCAATGCTTGTTGTTTCAATGTTACATCTCTAGATGGCGCTGTAATATCCTGCACGAGAGATTTAACTATTCTTCAGAAAACGAAAAATCTCAACCATACGTTATGTTTCGTCGTTTCTTACTTCATTAATCTGGCGCGCAAATTATTCTAGTGGTTTTTCAAACCATATATTATTATTCCCTGAAAACCGAACTGATACATTTGGAAAATGAATTAACTCTAAATAATGTCACACAGCGAGCGCCACCGGCCACCGAATATGTTCCAGCGATCTACACTTCGAGGGATCACTTTTTAGCTTACTTGAATATAAAGAATTCTAACATACAAAAATAATCTAATAAAATTAGATAAAAATTTTATATGACATTTCACATTTTGATAAGTGCTAATCTTTAACATCGGCTTAATTTTATATTGTTATGTTACTTTTTTGCAGTAATTTTATTGGAGTGTATTGTCATGATGGTAGCCAAATGCGTGTCGATATTACGAGAAGTAAGAAAATACGTTAGAATATATTGATGCACCAGAAGAAAGTGGAGATTCAAAATTGTTTAGTTCTGAAGTTCTGTTGCTTATGGTATTTATGGGCGTACGATTAAATTCATTAACTAGGGTACTTTGTGTTGACCTCTTGCCACCAAATTATTGAAATAGATTCGTCTAGTTTAGGGTGTCCAAAATAAGACCACGAACATGTATACCAAAATTATTCAACAAAATGCATAGCAGTGTAAGAAAATACAGAAGATTGAATATACTAGTTAAGTTTTTGTATCACAATATAGAGTTTAGGCCACTGTTAAGAATGCTACTCACCGATGAATTTGTTTCATTTTGATACTGAAAATGTACAAAATCATTATGTTTCTCCTAGCTTTTATGGTAGCCTGGTCACCTTAGTCGGGCATCGCGAGGGGTACGTTATCATCTCGTCTGCACTCCGGCTCAGAGCCTCTGACAAATTACACGCCCCGGTCCGCAGGTAAGACTTTTTTAACTATGATCTCTCGGGATTCTGTCCATTCGAGTTACTGGGCAGAATTAGTACTTTAGGAAGGCAGAGCACACTGTGAGTTTTGACGGCCAAAATACTTTTACAAAACATGTCGATACTTTGATTCCGTTTTTAAATGAAAACAAACAGTTATTTAAATATGTCTTTTAATTTGAAATATCGTTTTGTTTCCTATATGTTCTAAAGTTATCAATTTCATAAATAGATCGTCCAAATATCTCTACTATTTTTAAGTTGTTCAGATTGTTAACGACACGGCATTTACCAAGCGAAGTGTGTAGGTTTTAATATTCGGCCGTTAGAATACTCTATCATGTGTAAAATATAGGAACCATAGTTATATTATGTACGTGTGATATTATGTTTAGGAATGTTTACATAACTAGCAGTTGCTGCAGTAATTATATTTTATGACTTTGCAGAGATTTCCTCTACTTACGTCGTAGGTCAAAGCAATGTTAACCTAAATGTAGATCTGTTTGTTGATTTTGAAATCTTCACTTCATTATAAAGATTACTTTCATATGCAATATTAATTTTACCTTGATACTTTAAATGCAACATTTATTATGGAGTTCATTTCTATTTCACCTTGTATTATTTTGGTGATTATTTAACATGTAGATGTTCCCGTGCGGACATCCGGCGTTCATCCGCATGAAATTATAAAAACTTTATTTTATTGTTTAGATTTATCAAATTCTAAAATGCAAATTCCCACATGAAGGTTTTTACAATTTATTTAAGGGGGTAAATTCATTTAAAACATTTAATTTGTCTTTTTGAACATTTTTCACTAAAATACTAATAAAGCCTGTCGTAAGTGTAAGGCTATTTATTAAACAAAGTAATTCAAAAATATTCTGTGATTGCTGACATCGTGCGCCACGAAGTAGTGTGTGTTTACGCTTTATTACCTTAGTATAGGTTATAAAGAATAATGTAGAAATCACATAAAGAATATAATGTTCAAAATACGAGCGACGTCGGGTGTCGACCGCAGTATGTTTGATAACAAACGAAATGCTTTTAAATAATAGCAATAAATGTAATGATACAGATTACAGTTATTATGTTAAATAACTAGAGTGCGAGTGCGCGTAGCATTCTCCAACCTTTTTATCTAATCGTGTAAAAACATTTTATTGTTATCAAATAAATGTTTCAAGGCCAAGGGTGAAGATCAACGCAGACGATAATAATTAACTATGGATGATTTGTTTTTGTTTATTTAAAAGTATTTGTTACATTAAAAGAAACGTGGTCAATATGTAGTGTAGTGCACTTGATGTCATAGATAGATTACAATGAAAGATCCTCGTGTCTGTGTGTACAGTCGGCTGCATAAATGTGTATACATTTTAAAATCTTGAGATACTTTTATACTCCTTCGGTTTCTTTTATCCACGTATCCGTTCAAATGCTTTCGACAATGAATACATGTTAATGACGAATAAATTTATATGTGTTATTGACACCAGTCCTACACAAGTTTTGTAAATGTATTCAAGTTTGTGCAGCTGACTGTACACTACGAGCATGTCCCGCAGTGGGTGTATATGTCTACGACATACTTTGACTGTTGTGTTTACGTTTGTTAATCTCTGTATGTGAAAAGAAATAGGTAAACTAGTTAAAATACGTTATAACACTAGTTTGTTGCGATTAAAATATGTTTTATTGAAGTTTATCTTGAGATAAATGTTTAGTTGTGTGTTGTGAGCTTAATTCTTTATTTAGTGAATTATTGAATATCTTTATAACCTGATAATAACATTTCAAAAGTTAAGATGGATGAATGTATTTTATACCAGGTAACTCAATTATAGAATGTGTGAATAAAATGCGGTTAACGGTTGCGGATGTAGATTTATTTTATTCAATGTTATAAGAATTATGTTTCAATAATTTTAAGTTTTTTCTACTTTGTAAGATATTGCTATCATGGAGGCAGTGATATTCGACGGCAAGTCCCTCACCCTTAAGTATGACCCCGACTACCCGATGCCGCAGCTCGTCAACGACGATGACGTCATCGTGAAGGTGGAGTACTCTGGAGTATGCGGCACAGACCTTCATATCATACAGGTAACTAATATCAAAGGAAAACAGGCAACAAGCCGTCAACAGGCCGTCAGACAAAGTTCAGACGTACAATTGGGTGCAACTAAATTAAAAAAAAAACATGTAGTCACCTAAAGTAAACATTACAGTCCAGTCTCCTTTTCCTTCTGTACGGTATCCGTAACCAATAATATAGATGAAGGATGATATAGATAACATAAATATAGCCAATAATATAGATCAGTCATGTCTGAATCGTCCCCCAGGGAGAGTTCCCCGCCTCCAAGGAGCGGCCCTTGCCGCTGGGGCATGAGTTCAGCGGGACAGTGCACGAAGCGGGGAAGGGCGCTATTTTCAAAAAAGGACAGAAAGTCGTCGTCGATCCTAACAGGTTGCTATAATATTTTAATTAATTTGTTACAAAATTCTTATTATATCGTTTAAATCATTTAAATAAGCACAAAGTAGGACTACTGAATTTTTCTTTTCGGTTTATTATTTATGTATTTTCATAATGTACAGGCGTTGGCAACATTTTTTGCAACTCGATTTCTTCGTATTTAATGGTATTGTATGTGTAGGTAACCGCGATGTGTTGCAGGGCGTGCGCGCTGTGCAGCTTCTGCCGCGCGGGCAGCTACCAGTACTGCCTGACGGCCGGCATCAACAGCACCGTCGGCATCTGGCGCGACGGCGGCTGGGCGCAATTCGTGCGCGTGCCGCAGGACCAGGTGTACGCCCTGCCCCCGCAGATCACAACAGAACAGGGTATATACTAACATCACCATTAGTTAACAGCTGAACGTTTTTATTATAACCACTCCATTTTATGCCATATTTCAGCTTACTATTAATAATATCCATTCTGCTTGCTTACTTATTTCTGAGAATTATATTTTTCGTCGGATTTGTACATTTCGTTAGATTAATGTTAAGTAAAATAATTTATTTTAGAATCTGGGCTGTCCTCTCATATTTTATTTCTCAATCGTATTGAATAAGTTTTCAAATTTAATTGTTGTCTATTCTGGTCAGCTGGTCTGTGTGAGCCCTACTCGTGTGTGTCGCACGGCTTCGACCGCGCTTCGCCGCTGCCCGTCGGCAGCAAGATCCTCATCGTGGGCGCCGGCATTATAGGTCAGTAATACGAGAATTACATTAGAATTTGACATGTGTACCTGGTAAGCAGATTGTATTTATAATCTATGGTATGTTCAAGTGTTGTTACATTGTCAGGCAACTTGTGGGTGACGACGCTGCACCACCACGGCCACCGTGACGTCACCGTCTCAGAGATGAACGCTGCGAGACTCGACATCGTCAAAAAACTCGGTAAATAACCCAATTGGACATTATAAAATAGGTTGTAGCTAACCTCAATCTCTACTTGTGTAACAACAACTTTAACTTGACATTTCCCAGACACGGGTTTCAGACTGATCACCCCCGACGTGTTGGCCGCTGAAAAGGAGTTGTATGACGTCATCATTGACTGCACAGGTAAGGTTATAATTCTAATTTACCGATATGATGCTTGCGTCTTTTTCGTATATGTCATGACAATATAATTTGAAATTGCAGGCGTAGGCAAAGTGATGGAGATAAGTTTCAACTACTTGAGACACGGCGGCAAGTACGTGCTGTTCGGCTGTTGCCCCCCCGCGCACCAAGCCTCGTACGTACCCAGTTTAATAATGACCAGTAAACCAAAGGGGTAGATAAAGTTAATGATTCCAATTGACACACGGAACTACACCCACATACTCGCCAGTTACGTGTACAACGAAAATAATACATTGTAAAATGATATGTTTTTATGTCACCAGAGTGAACCCTTTCCAAATCTACGACAAGGAGCTGACAATAATCGGTGTGAAGATCAACCCCTTCAGCTTCCCCAAGGCCATCGGCTGGCTGCAGGCCATGGGCAGCAGGTAAGCACGCCAGGATTCACACTGAACGGGACATTTTTCAAGAGACCTCTACAGAGCCCCGTTTTTTACCAAGCTTAGATGAGGGGGAACATAAAACTGTGTAATATGCACACTTGTGGCGATTAGAAGATAATCGCACCCTTAGGTAGTATAATAATCAATGAATGTTTGTTGTTGTAGGTACCTGGACTACAAGAAGCTCGGTGTTAAGACCTTCAAGCTGTCGGAGTACGAGGAGGCTCTGAAAGACCTCAAGGCCGGCACCATCTCCAAAGCGATCTTTAAGATTGACTAAATATTAAATTATACATTTTTGCGTAGTTCCTCTTTTTAATTCCTTTTCCTCTTAGATAGTAATGCTTTTATTATTGCCGAAGTGTAGACAGTTATCTCTTATCGGTTACCAACATTTCTGCAGGATGTATTTTTTGTTATACACGATGTTTAAATTAAAAACCTTATAAAATTCCGTTAAAAGAGGGCTGTGTCTTGTTGTTTAGGAATGATTATTCGGCAGTTTTTATAAACCGTTAGTAACGGGGTCATTGTGTCACCATTCAATACAATAAAGAACCGCTTTTATTGTCAGCGATGTTTCGTTGTCGTTTGGAAAACCTTTTAAGCAATAATCACCTCTATTAAGTATAACTAAAGGTGATATTACTGCAGGAGCAGGTGTGTTACCTGTGTGGCTGATTGTATCTCTACTCAGAACTTCTAAAACATCATGTAGGAGTTTCCTCGTAACTTAATCGACTTAGTTACAATCATTGAGAAAGCAATGTTTTTTAATCTACGTCAAGGGAACACTATAAAGCCGGTAGTCAGTCTGCCTGAACTCTGAGAAACCTGGTATTGGGAACTGGTGTCGCGAATGTCAGTGGGCATCGATGTTGTTTTGTTTTTCATACAAAAAACCATATCTGTGTAATCACTTTGTCATAAATAAACTAAATCCCTTATTAAAATATCTCGCCTTGCGTCTAATTGTAAAAAAAATCATCAAAAGAACTAAAGAAAAACAAAGAGTAAAAAGTTAAAATAACTTGTACAAAAAGTGAAGGATTGATAAAAACTCCAACCGGAAACCATAACTTCCTAATGTTCAAGGTAAAAATAGTCCCATAATTACCGCGTACACACTCTATCATTTCACTTTCATTGCACAGCGAAGTGTTGCCCACGCGCCCCATGCCTTCAGTTATACGCTCACTGACATACTGACATTTTGGCAAACAAACTAACGTCTAACTCCTAGATACACATCTACACGAGGGAGCAGCAATTGTTACACTATTGTAACAGAACTAGGTCTGCAATAACGAGATGACTGTATCACTACAAACTTGTGAGCACACTTGACGTCAAAAATACACAAATTTATATAACACACCAGAATTCTTTTTTACAGCTGTTGCTCTTCTTTGAAAGGAGGTTCAACACGTAACAGGATGAAAAAAAGGCATCAATCAAAATTAATCTTTTTCATGTTACATCGATCGTAACGACCGACGAAAGTCGTTATCTTTTTTGAATTACGCAAATCTTTCATTACTTGACAGTTGACATTATGAGAGGATTAAGAGGTTTCACCGTGTCGTACGTAATGTGCTTTTCATTTCAATTAGCATATTATTGAAATAATCGATATAATGGATCAAAAGGTCGAAATTGTCCGAAACATTTGGGCGTGATGTTTCCTCTTCAGCGTCAGCGACGGCCGACAGCCGACAGCCGACAGCCGACCCAGTTGCGACAACAATGCCTGACTCAATGCAGTGACATTTGGTGCGGATGAGACTTAACAGTACCGCGACCAGATCACATTTGTGATACCCTTCTTGTGCATACAATGCTCTGCAAATGCGAGGTTCACAACATTTGGTCAATTGTTATTACATACCAATGAGAAATAGTTATATGAAAATTTCCATACATGCCAATAGTGAACATTTAACATAATGTCAACCACCGCTTCCAGTTAACAACTACAACAATAAGTATACATCTTATCATAGATTTAATAGAATAGATAAAAAATATAGGAAATAGTTATTTCCGTCCTCTCAGCAGAGAAACATAAGAACTTAAAATAAAATTGCTACGACGAATTATTGTCGTTTATTTAAATGATGAGACCCAAATGTTTTCTGTGCCATATGTTACGTCTGTAGGAGCCTTCTTATTATAAAAATTGGACACGGAATGTGCAACGTTCATTATGTATTACTAAATGGAAATGTATTGTAACACATGTTGTGAAAAAAAGTCGTTTCGCTTTAGTCGAAACTATAGTCGTCGCCAGCCTATGATCTACCATTGGTATGGCCGTATTCAAAGTAGTTTTTATAAGTACATACATTTTTAATGCTGCAGGGGCGGGTTTGAAGTCCATGGCCAAAATCTTTTTTTAACAAAAAAACAGACATAGTTACTTGTTATTAACTCACCTACATATAAACGTAAGATAACCTTCTAAGAGGAAAATGGCTGCCCTTGATTTACGATGATTTATAGCGCATAGGGGCTCTAGGTCGCCGCAGCTCACCTAGGCCTCCTGGCCCTAGGGAAGGTTTGGGGAAGGCCTAGGGAAGGCTGCCGCGTCTGCTCACCGTACTCGTCTGATGCAATGCGACCTCGTGTTGCGACAAATTATGAGTCTCAACACTCGCCCAGCTATTTGTGTTAGTAGCGATAGACAAACAAACTGTTCATAATTCATGCAGAGCCGGTACTGCGTAGCACATCAGCGCTACTAGTACCGTGCGTAAATAATTTCTGTTGCATAAAGTAATCATCGCGTTTTGGTCTTAGGATTTCTTATTGTTCCTATAACATCCTCTGGATATAACTAGTCTTTGTCCTAACTGTAGAAGATAGTGCCACGTGTCTTGGATATTGAAGTCTACGGAGAGAGTTACGCGGCAGATCCCCGTCCTGATAATGAGACACTGACCTCTAAAAATTGACAAGCTGTAAGACGTGATATTTTGTGCCTATTTGATTCCAGCAATTTCAAAAATGACTCTATTTATTATTAAGGGTAGTCACTAACGTTAACAGGTGCGTTTACGTTAACGAATCAAAAGCTGTAATGTAAAGCATTGGCCCATCCTAAAATGAAATCACCGAAGAATTAGCAAACTTTTTTTCTATCGCTACGAGCACACCTGAGTACATGTCAATGTGTCCTTTACACAGATATTATGGGTCAAAGTTACTCACAACTGATAATATGGTAATAATGTCGGCATGCGGGGGATGTGGCACACCGCGCCGCCTGCAGCCGCCGACAGCCGCCGACAGCCGCCGGCAGCCGCCGACAGCCGCACTGAACCGGATTCTAGTGTTAGAACTACGTATTAGACTGTTAAATTATACGACAAGACTATTATCAATGTATGCTTGTTATTAAATTAAAAAATTCAGAACAAAAACGCAAATCTGACTCGATGTTAAGTCACCGCACGCTGCTGTTGCGAGATCTAGCTTAGCATTTATGGAAACAGATTTCGTTCGTGATCTTTGGTTCATTGCAGTACACAACAAAAAAGAATTTTTTATTTCATTAATTATTTATGAATTAATGTAATCCTGAAGTTAAGCATTCGTAAGGTGTGCTAAACGTTTTTTATAATCATTTTTTTGTCTAACAATGATTAGTTAGTTATAATAAGATGCCGCTTTGTGAACACTAAACTTCACGTATCTTAGAATTCATAACTCCCAAAGTAATTTCAGAAAACATACAATTTCAATTGGCTACATTTGTGACGCCTTCCGAAATAATGTTTGTTTATATTGCGTACGCGTTCACTTGAAATGGCTCAGAAGAACGTTGTGTTGAACAACATGTATGTCAGGACCATGTCGATTTGTAATCAGTAAACAATATTTTATATTCAATCTACAATGAGTAAACGAATACATTATGTATGTAGTAAAAAAAACTTTCGTTAAATATATATACGGTAATATATATATATATACGGTATATATTTTCAGGCAGTTATCTTTAAAAATAGCATAATTACATAAATGTAATTAATCAGTACACACGTAGAAACGTAAAGTTATGTATAATTAAAAGTTGTTGTGACAGTATGTACTAAATTAAATTATAAATTCTTAGCGTCAATTTGGGTACACATTTACTACGAGAGTCTACAACTTTGCTACGACAAGTAACTGCTTACAAGTGCGGTATAAGAAACACCCATATTAAGTTGTTTAATCTTTATGGTAAGTTGAATTTACGAATTTTAAGTACTATAAATAATTCAGTATGCATTTTTAGTTAAAGATAAGTGAATTTGCAGTTCTTGTCCATCGGTGACAAAATTATAAGAGACGCTTAGCGATATTACTGGAAACTAACTGAAAATTTACTAATGTAACTGTGTAGAAGGAATTATCGTATTCCTGATCAAAGGTACAATGATGCAAAGTGCAAATTCTATGTGCAACAGAAGTTGCGTCGCAAATTATGTTAATGCTGACATTGGGGCGGCGGCGCCGGCGCGGGCGCGGCACCACACGCTCTCTGTTACTAGGAATTTGTGTCGAGATAACAGACTGTTTTACTCTTTAAATATCTGTATTCAGCTTGTTCTAATGTTTATAATATTTTTGTCTACTAAAACCTTGGTCGTTGTTTATTTACGGACCGTACTTTTGAGGCACATCGTGCGGCTGCCATTTATTGGTACTAAAAGATTGTCTCATTTGTTGTACCAATAATTTATTGCCTAATTCAATTAAAATTTATATTATCCGGCCTTTGCTCTATGACTGCACAATACCTTGACCTAGAAACCGTTGGCTTTGAACAAAACTGATTCGACAATTGAGCGAATGCTTAGGCCCAACAATCAAGCCACACATACAACTAGGGTATAGACAAAAAGATGCATCTTTAGATCGGTCTAGTGACCCACATTATCGTGTGTGTTGCGGCATTGTGCGCGACTCCTTTGAGCCTTCAATGAGTACCACAAAAATAATAAATCGCTCGCATCTCCGGTCGCGGCGCCTCACTCCGCTTTCGTACAGCGCGGCGAGTGCACGCGACAATTGCACAATGAAATAAATTGATAAACATCACTACATCAGTGTTAGGCATTTATCATAAATAAAATTTCAGATATTTACAAAAAAAAAATAAGTTTCAAGTGACAGTTTGCAGGAAACTTGTGAGGAAAAATGTTTAGGATTATAATTCATTATTTGTTATTGATAAACACTTGCTTTGCGGATTTCTTTCTGAATCATATAAATCACATGGAGTTCTACAAGAACAGGACACGGCCGTCGAAGGCTTTCTCCAGTTTTTCTATGAACTACCTGAACCATAACGTGGTGCGTCCGGGGCGGCCCGGCAGCAGCGGCAGCGGCGCTGAGGAGGTGCAGTGCGGCACCAGGACTGTGGACTTCAGCCCGCGCAGGACTGGCAAGATCGTCGGAGGAGCGGAGACACCTTACGGGGCCTACCCATGGCAGGTAAATAGTTAAAGACTATTTATTTGGTTTTTCTTCCTTTAACTTTAGAGGTAATTTCTACTTACATATTTGTGCTTTTCTACTCGTACCATGCTTATATGTTCATGAATGAAGAGTTGTATTTACTCTTCTCGGTTACATATTATTATCGTTTCTTGTCTCGTCTGTGTGTGTTGTGGTCAAAGTGCTGATTCGTCTGATTTGAACCTACCTACCGCCGCTTCACGCTAATCAATGTGGTCGATTCTTATCGGGTTTCTGTACAAAATGTCTGCTTAATAAAATTGAGCCATTAGAAAAAATCACTTTGTATACAATATACAACATAGGTATATTTACCGCACCAAACAGCAGACGAAAATTTTCCAAAACATGGAACCTTTGACTTCGCGGTGTGTGGCGCGGCGACCGGCTGTGCAGCGCTGTGCCGGCTGCAGGCGGAGACTTTTGTTAAATATCAGGAATTGTGCAATCTCATTGACATGAGTTACCAATGTTGACGATGTGTCGTAACATAGCTCGTACATCTCAGTCTGCTCCACTTCCTACTAAGCTACTCCTTACTTTGTGATAAACATGCTTTTGAATAAAATTCAAGTTAGTTAAGTAAAGCTGAAAACCAAATAGTTATTCTGCGAAACAAAAAGGTTCCATACATTCATTCATATTTTTTAAAAAGGAAAACGAAAGAAACATGAACTTTATATTTTTTAAATCGGTCATCTCCAAAAATCAGTTTATTTCTCACTCGGCTGTATGTTTTTCATGATAAGTTTCGAATGCACGAAAAAGTTACGAATTGTAATTAAAAGCCGAGAGCACGCCTTCATCAATACGCAACAATCGTATGCTTAAGTAAATATCTCGTAATTCAAATGCTGCCTTACGTGAATTTTAATGAGTTGTGAGTTTGTGTGTCAAGTGCTCACCCTGTCTCTGCACGCTGCGCGCTTGGCATTGCCACTACAGAGAAGGATGTTCGTCCACATACAAACCATAAGCATTGCGTAACTCATTGCTTTACTAACTTACATCATCAATACAGAATTGGCTTGCACTTAACCTCTTTCGAAGACTTTAGCCAAAATTATACAAAAGCGCGCCAACCGTCTGTCACGTTTTGACATATGTATGTCCGCCATTTTGCAACGTTCGGAAAACGATTGCTTATAATTGAACTTTCACTTTTACTTTTGTTTAGCTGAAGTTTTATTGCCATGCTTAGAATATTCAAATGTTTACTGAATAATTCTCTATTAGGCAGTACTAATAAGATTATTTATCTGTTATACTGTTTCTTGCTGATGAAAGATGTGTTGTTACTCGTAACTCTTCCTCAAAGTAAATGTACAAATAAAGGAAATGTGCTGTGACGGTTGCAGGTAGAGGTGCAGCTGTTGGATCCTGACAAGTTGACGTTCGAGCACCATTGTGGAGGCGCTGTCATCGCGTCGCGCCTCGTGCTCTCCGCCGCACACTGCTTCGACAAGGTAACAAACTTTGATTTCTACCAATCACATTGTAAAGTAATCTAGTGTCTTTGAAATTAAATGATTACTTATAACATGTTTTGGAAAAGTCTTTTAAGCTAACAAAATGTATGATTTATATTTCAGCAACCGTTGCATCTGGACCACATAAGAATCGTGGTGGGCGAGCACCGGCTGAAGGTGCTAGACAAGCACGAGCACCGCTTCCTCGCGGAGAAGGTGGTCCTCCACCCGGACTTTAGGAAAAGTATGTGCATGTTCTATTTTTCCAAATATTAATTGTAAGTTTTTTTGGAGAGTTCAGATATTATTTAACTTATTAAACGAAACGCAAAAACATTATTGAGGCCGTGATACGTGCCTAAGAAGCACGCCATTGTGCCGATACGGTAACTTATCTGTCCCCTGTGTAACTCTGTTCCAGACGGTCCGCACAGCAACGACATAGCGCTCATCCTGGTGTCCCGATCGGGCGCCGGGGTGCAGTTCAACTCGCACGTGCGCCCTATCTGCCTGCCCGAACACTCCGCGCCGGGGCTGGGGGAGAGGGAGGCCGACGGCACCTGGTGCTCCGTCAGCGGCTGGGGATACCAGACAGGTAAAACCTTTTTAAAATATGGCAACGTTCATGTCTCTCGGCTTGTGGTAACTAAATTCACACTATCATACTATCACATGTTGTTTTATTTACAGAAGGCACAGAGACGTTCGCGCCGGTGTTGCGTGCGGCCGACGTGCCGCTCATGGATCTGGACACGTGCCGGAAGAGCCAGGTGCTGGGCGGTCGCCAGCAACCCATTCTCGATTCTATGATATGTGCAGGTGGGTACGAGTTAGAAACATTTCAGGGTGATATAATGGACCAGTACCAGTTTTATCGCTACTAGCGGCACCTTCATTTCGCCACATTTGGGGGGATGGGTGTAGTGACGTTCCTTTCTGGCCAGCGTCCTCGGCGCATGACTTATCGCGCCCGATCCTAACGCCGACATTGTCATTTACCATAATGGACATACACAAGAGATAGTTTGCTAACCTTTGGTGTAACATTTCAGGCGTGCTGTCTGGTGGCGTAGACGCGTGCCGCGGCGACTCCGGCGGGCCGCTGGCGTGCCGCGCGGCGGGCCGCTGGCAGCTGCACGGCGTGGTGTCGTGGGGCTCGGGCTGCGCTCGGCGCGCGCGCCCCGGCGTCTACACACGCGTGGCCTCGTACATCGACTGGATCAAAGTCACCGCCAGCGGCATGGGGCACCAGCTATAGCCGCTAGCGACACGCTCAGCTGAACATGCGGCCGCAGAAGTAATGGGACAAGAAACTATAAAGCAGCAGACAAATCAGTAGAACAAATTTAACCAAACCATGGAAATGTGACACAGTAATAAATTATTTGAATAAGTGATAAGACAATTTACTCGTAGACAGGGTAAAGAAGGTAGTTTAATTCAATGGGTTGGTTTTAACTGATGTTTTTAGAAGTTTCTTTTAAGTTTCTCATCGGAAAATTTAGGCGGCCATAGATTCTTATGTCCGATGAGTTGTAGTAAAATTTACAAACAGTATTTTATTGTATACTTTAATGCCAAAGATTTAATGTAAACAGTTAGTTACCTTGAGCCTTGAGTTACCACACAAGTTACTGCGTTAGTTTGATCTAAGCTTAATTTAATCAATACCGTGCTTTTGATTGTAGATCGAACATAGTTCATCATGCAAGTGCTAAATGTGTTGTGTTACAACTTTATTTATGTTAATTTAGAAAATCTGTTTTTATTATGTACTTATAAATGTGTAAGATTAGCAATAAATATTATATTGTTTAAGAATAAATAGAATTTTGACATTGCTTCTGTGTTTTTTTTTAACAAACTTCTCTTAGAATTAAACTTACGGAGAAGATCGGTACATCGTGTTCAAGACAATTTAATTTGTGTGCTTGCAAATGAGAATACTTTCTTTCAATCTTTGTCCAAGAGACGACATGCTCTTTAATAATAAATATTGGAGTTGCAATGTAAATCGCACAATTTTAGATTTTTTAGATTAGATTTTATTTATATAGATTAACATATAGTTGCTTTTAAGTAGCCTCTTCAGTTTGTATAAATTAGTTATGTTAATTAATTGTAAGAGACATGACATGCTAGCGCCTGCTTATTTTAAAGCTGCAATATGTAATTGTGTTTGAGTGCAGCGTTTTTATTTATACTCAGTATTTTCCCATCAAAATGAATCCAATACCACTTTCGGTATATAAACAAAAAAAATAAATTAAAAGCACATTTTTCGAATGTCTCTTAGAAAGTCGACATTTTTTTTACTCTCAATATATTCGCAAATGTAAAACAAATTCAAGGAGCTTGTTTATGTGGGTCATATTGCATTGTTTGCACGGAAATGCATATTTAACCTTAGCATAACGAATAAACACGATATTTACAAGATTGTGGAAGTAAGTGAAGGAGTTTTCCGCTGTATCGAGAAAATCGCCCACGCGAGAGAAGAAATGGCAAATGAGACAAACTAACATGTAAACACAGATAATACAATACTATACTAGTGTACAAATTAGAAATTTTACCTAAATAATGTTCTCATAGGATTTTATGTATGTATATTGTAAATCTCTAGTGTCTTTTTAGATTTAAAATTTTCACTCGAAGTACTCTTTCCAGGCATTGTAAACGACTATCAGTCTACGGCTCTTATTTTTTATATAATGCCTTATTTGACTATCTTGAATTACAATTAACTTCTCGATTATCTTGTATCGCTATTTTCGACGTTTTGTTGGAATATTTTTAGACGCTAGATGGCGCTGTTTGGCAAAGTTTCGCGGTGTACATTTTGTTTTGTAGTCTTTTGCGTTTTGCATTATATTTTTCTTTTTATGTTTGACTTTTACAGATAGTCGGAAAACAATCAATAAATATGAGAATAGAGAATGTTGTATAAACTGCATCGGTATCAGTGAGATCAGCGGCACACTTTGCATCCATCGCAGCGGTAGGTTCAGATGTCAGTAGGGCGGTTGATAGTGTACACAAGAAATGTCACTCCCAAATGGAATATTAACTTGAGATGATTTCTTGCACCGCTGCTTTAAATCAGAGCATATATAGGGTGTTTAAAATGTTATTTACCTCGGAATACGAGGCAGCTATAATTAACTGCAACTGTGTTTGATTGTATGTATGATACATGTGCGTTATGGCCACCCTTATCGCAGCTCTGCTAACGCCCGCAACTTCTAACCCACTTACATTTCCGCTGTCCGCTGCGTGCATCCTTTCCTCTATTGAGAATCGCCCCGAGCATTCAGCGTATATTCAGAGTTTTTTTAAAGCAGATAGTTTGTTTAGAATGTAGTAGAAAGGTGAAACGGGAGTATTCAGCGCTCATCGTCGGCGACAGCCGCAGAAATTTCGAAAATAGTTACTGTATTATGTTCTGTGTCGCATTGAATATCAGTGTGTCAGCAATAATACCAATAAAGGAAGGCAAGGGCGGATCCAGCTTTGGCGCCGGGGGAGGGGGGTCACATAGTCGTGGTCAAGTCAAGAGCTTGGTAAAATATGTAAATATATTTTGTCAAGCTCTTGACCAACCAGCTCAGGGGGGGTGTTATGATCCCCATGACCCCCCCTGGATCCGGACCCGAAGGGGGAGTGAGCTTTATACGGCACGTGCTATTCCTACGCACTTGTAGCGAATATATAACACATCAGTCATCATCAACTTGCCCTTATCCCTTCCGGAGGTTCGGCACAGTTTGTGCTGCTCTTCCATACATCTCTATCAGCCACATATGTAACACATCAGCGAATATAAATAAATTATTTATATTATGGTTTCACGAAACCATTAACCTCCTGTCAGGATCCAAAAGTTTTTGTTATCCGTTCTTGGAAAAAATAATTTGTACAGTCACGGAAAACTGCGGCGCTTCACTGTCAGAGTAGTAGGGACAAACTCCGCCTCTTCTTACAAATAACCGATAAGGTAACAGTGATTTGCGCAAATGACTGGATAATCAAACAATTTGTCGTAAGCCACTTATTTTTTTTTTCATACAAACACATTTAAAAGTTGTGTGCTATTGATTATTTATTCCCGTGGTCAAATTATTATATACCCATGCGTACAAATTTTCAAGCGAGACTGTAATTTTAAAGATTGAACACCGCCAGATTCCTCGATTGTACATATGTGTGTGTTGGTTGTTATGAGTATCTTTGCTTGTGTGAATGTGTAAGTGGTTTGTTTAATGGCTTATTAATTAGGTTATTTGATGTACGTCACACTCAATCGGGCGAGTCACGTGCGAGTGGCCACGCGGTTGTCGAAAAAATGGGACGCCACCGTGAACAGGAAGTGTTGCGAGCGGGGTCACACAAAGCTGGTTTGATAATATGTGCTGTTTTTCGATATGATAATGTTTCAAGCTGACCTCTATGTTGTCTATTTTTAAATGACGAAGTAACATTTAAATAAATATTTGGAATAATAAGCGTTGCAATAAATTTACCGTTGCATGATTTTAAAAGATTATTTTCCTGCTTTGATTTAAGTGCAAATATGCACATCAATAATATGTATTATTAATAAGTGTTTGTGAATGTAATCTTATTACATCTTTAGTATCTGTACCTTCTACTTTAATTTGGTATTAAAAAACTAAAGCTTTTATTAATACTTCGTAGAAGTTATAAATTACCTAATCTTAATAAGGATGTCAAAGTTTTTTTTAATAAACTGGAAATATTCTGCGTAACATGAAATAATAACAAAAAATATTTCGAATGAATAGATATATTACAAAGTTAAATACATCACGAAATAATTACATACATTACAAATAAAAATAAAAATTTAACATGGAAATTCGGTTTACTACATAAAAAATACGTACTAAAATGTTTTAGAATTAAATAAATTAAATGTGAAATATGACTCGTAATCTGGTTGTAGTTAATTATCTTATTAATATTATAAATGAGACAGTTTATACAGATGGATAATTCTTTTTTAATTCCATGCGGCTGGAGTCGCCAGCGTAAGCTAGTATTTTCTCATGATATCAATGGATGAAGTTTATTTTTAATATTTGATCTGTGTAACTTAATGTGCCTATAGTGTAGTCGTAATACTGCATTGACATTTATTTATTGGAGTTATTAGAAATGATTTGCATATTTTATTTTAATAGTCCAAGATACAATAATAATTTTATACAATATGATGGTGACCCTACTCACGTGTTTAGTGGCAGGGCGAGGAGGGCGCGGCGCGGGTCGCCGACTTTGGCGCGATAACTCTCCGTGTAATGGAGCTCAGGTCGACTGCACCCCGCACCCCGCACCCCGCACCCCGTTCCCCGCACCCCGCACCCTGCACCCCGCACCCCGCACCCCGCACCAAAGCTACATATAATGTTATTGTTTATTATGTTAATTTCATATGTTTTTATTACACAAATTTAATGTTTTGAAACTTTAAGAAAAATAATAAACACACATCGTTATTTATATCAAAGTATACAATTAAAGTATATGAAATCACTACTTAAAAAGTGTTCATAATGTAAACAAACGTATACTGATGCTGTACTCTCCTAGTACTCGGTTGGATAGTTAGTACGAGCTAGTTTTTACATCAATTTTACATTTTTAGCTCCCATAAGGGGGAGGTGGCTGTTCCCAATCCTTCCTACCACATACTACTAAACTTGTTATGATTCATTTACGCTATATGTAGTTATCAAGATAACCCATCCGAGTACAGTTTGTAGCAACACATTTGTGGAGGTTTTGCTTTGGGTTTTACCACAAGTTTCGCACTAACGCCCTCAAGGTTTCCAACTTGTTTAACTCTAAATTTATAGCAGAATACTCGTCTCACCTTTTTTGTTAGGACTATATTATTTTTAGTATATTGATGGATTATTATCAAGTTTAAAATTGATTAATTCAACCACACCTTTACATGAATTATTCAAATATTTTAAGTATCATACAGTTATAGTTTTATATAGCCAGATTTTATATAATTTTATGACATAAAATGGCTAAGTCAGCTGCACACCTTCACATTTATCTGAACAGTCCACTTCTATAGTTAAAACTGACGTGTACATGCAAAATTGAGAACTGTCCAGTATAACTGGCAAATAAAATTTTGCCTACACACGTCAGTTTTAACGGAACAGTCAAACTGTTCACTTTCAATACAGGAGGTGTGTAGCGGGCTTTAGCAACATGGACCACATGACACTTTTATGGTTAGTTGACTTGATTATATGAATCTTTGACAGAATTGTTTACAAGATAAATGATACTAAGATAAAATATTAAAATATTGTACTATAAAGACCATAAACTTCACTTCTCATTCCATGTATCTTCTTAGTTCTTAATTGATCAGTGTTTAAAGAATTAGGCGATACTATCACCTGTCACCAGTCACCAGAATATGTTGTCGTGATGCGTTATAAGTTCGATTTCACGGAATATTACGAACGACACGTGATTTCAAGGATTTTATATTCTTTGATATTTAGTAGTAACCTTCCAAGACATGATGCAACAAACAACAACGTAATATATTAAGTTTGATTTGCATACAGGAAGAGATGTATGATTTATTGCATGTGTGAGTTGTGTGTGTGGTGAGGGGAGACGTCGTCGCGGAGATGATCGACTCGTATTACACTGATCAGCAAAGCTCAAGTATTGGTAATATTTTTTTTGGATCAAGGGAACGTAT